GCATTCTCGGTCGGCAGAGCAGAGCTCAACTGAGCCCCAGATAAGTTTCTGGAGAAGCCTGGCTGCCTGGGCTCTTAAAAATTATCATGACCACTATTTTATCTGACATTTTTAAGCATGGGCCGATCTGATCTATGCATGGAAATCGGAAGGATTCCCTACATAAGGGTGGGTGGGTGCCTTTACACGTGCGGGCACACACACACCTGCCTCAAGAGTAAATTTATTGCATAGTTAGAAAACTCGAAAGAGAACAGTTTTAGAGCCCTCCCGGCATTTCGGTCCCCTTTCTAGAATTTGCAAAGATGTTTTGATCCATCCAAAGTCAGTTCAGCACTATTCAGGGCAAGGAAACAGAACGAGAAATTGATCAAAGGAAACACCCCGGCGCGCTTAGAAACATTCGCTAGCCGGACTGAAGGACCCCTAATGGGAACTCGAAGGATGATAGAAATGGAAAGGCAGAATCTTTACCTCGCTCGCCTGCCTTCCCCCCAGACGGGACGCAGCTTACTTCGAACCTTGTATTTAAGGGAGTCGTTGGGAAGGGGACACCGAAGGGGAGGACCAGAAAGAGCGACTGGGAGGGAGACAAGCCTGCAGTGGAGAAATGGGGCAGAACTGAGCACCTTTGCCGGCGCTTCGTTGATCCTTGCCCTGACGGGCGCTTTTGGAAGTCCGGAGACCTGCCGTGGAGTTGCAAGGCAGCTTCGCGAGTGCCACCGCCTAGCACGCTGGAGGGAGGCGAGGCGAGAAAGTCCCGTTTCTCCCGCAGATTTAAGCTTTCAAACATTAACTGGTTCCGGGCAAGCCGGCTCTGGACTTTGGGATCATTCAGAACGGAACGGCCAACTTATCCGGCCGGAGGAGACTCGAATCCCCCTGTTGCCCCGAGTGCGATGGTTTCTCCAGCTGGTCGCCCACCCGAAGGGAGAGGGGGTGAAAAATCCGAAACTACCCACCACCGGAGCCCAAACGTTGGGCACTAGAGAGAAAACTCTCTCCTTTCAGCGCCCCGGAACAGGCATTCCAAGAAAGGCGGTGGGACCTAAGCACTCAGGGCAAATGGCTTTATTTCGGGGAAGAACAAGTGGAACTCGGTGGTAAAACTTGCCCGGTTTGGAGAAAGCCGGATGGCGCCTGGGAATTTAGACGAGCGGTTCGAGATAACAGAGCCAAGGTGGGAAGCAAGAGAGCCGGCTCTCTGTCTCTCGGCGCGGAAGATGCTGCAAAAGCAAAGGGGAAAAAAGCCCAGATCACAGAGAGGGCTCTTCGGGCGGGCGGGGGTCTCCGGGGCACGTCTGGGCTTGTGCCTTTCCGCCCTGCCTCGCGCTGCCTCACAAAGAAAAGCGAGCCGAGCAAAGCAAGCCCCTTCGGTTCCGCAGGAGGCTGCCTTTATGAAAATATACCGAAAAGGAAGGATGGCTGCGGTCTAATCGAATTCCGGTGGATCTAAAGCGAGCGCGGCGTGGAAGGGAGTCCCTGCTTCCCCTCCCAGCCGAATGCAGCGTGCCTGTCTCTTTCCTTTCTGGAGAGGGAGAAGGAAACGAAAGCAAAAATGAGAGAAGAAAGTTCCTCTCTGGATCTAAGGCGGTGGTTAAGGAAGCCTCCGAATTCCTTTCCTGCCTGCCCCCCTCCGCCCCGGTTCCCTTTCCCCGGCGCGAGGCAGGCAGCTGCACCAGGGCTCCTGCAGTCGAGCGCCCGGCTGGTCTCGGACCCCTCTCTGGTTTGCCTTCCCAAGATCTCCGTGCCTGTCTGGGGACTCTTGCCCGGGTGTGTAAATCTTCTTGCCCCGCCAAGGTGCCTCTTCTCTCCATACTGACCTCGTAGATGTCTTCATATTTCACATTTTCCACCAGTTTCCAGAGCATGATGGCGGGATGTCCTCTAGGAGGTGAGTGCATTCATGTGAAGAGCAGATGTCTGGATTCTCAGGACTTCTCTGTCTGTAATGATCCATCTATAATTGGAAACGGGGGACAGACACCAAATCCGACGTTCCTCTCCCATCGCAACTTATATCTGTTGTCTGAAACAATAGGCTGGAGAAGGAAGCCTCAGACAGAGAGGGAAAATCATTCCCATCTGTGGAGTTTATATAGAACACATAGACATATTGAACACACATAGATTATGCATATAATTACTCACCCACCCTTGATACATCCACGACTATATGTTCATACACACACGCGCTCACACAGGCAAGTATGAAAAAGAGAGTTGGAGATATTTCTGTAGGTAAACATCCCAATTCGGTGCATATGTTTGCACACACACACATACATGTAGGGACACATATAGGGAAAGGAGCAAACGTGAGTCTTAACTTTCTGACCACAGGGAGCGTGTATTGCGACATATTTACTTCTACAGATCGATTTGTTTATGCAGTATATCTAGGCACTATCTCAAATAGTTTAAAGATATACGTTTACATATCTGTAATACGCCCACACGTATTTTATATATGTGAAATTTACATCTAAAAACTCACACATACCCACGCAGCAGGCACATACAACACACACACACAATTATTTGTGAGGTAAATGGGCATTTCCCCCCTTTTTTTTGGTGGGGTTGGAGAGAAATATAGAGTTTTATAATTCTGATTCACTGACAAATGCAGAGACATGGGATAGCAATGATTTTAGAAGCTAAAACGTTGCATAAGTTTACAACCCATGTCCTTTAATTTCAATCATTCCAGACAATTTTCTCTCTTTTCTCGGCTGAAAGCCAAAGCACTCCAAAAACTAGGACCATCCTACTCTGGCCATATTTAATCGAGGAGAGCTAATTTCAAAGTTCCCTCTCATGAAACGGTTTTTCGTTGTTTTATTTTGTTTCGACACTTGCCTGGTCTTTTGAGCGGACGTTTAACGAACTGCACATTTTAAAACGAGCCCCATCTCAGCGAGACAAGCTGGCGAGCTTTCGCCCTTGCGGAGGGAAAAAAATGACCCTTGGCTGGGTGCGCAAACAGGCCTTTCCCGCTGGAATTTCAGGCACTTTTCGAAAGATCTGCGAATTTCTCAGCGCCTCCAAAGTGACTTGGGAGGAGAATAGCTACCTTAAACGCACTCTTCTAGATGTCTTTACAAGAGTGGGCAAGCCATCGATTTTTCGCCCTCTAGGAAGGGGAAAGGGCGAGCTGCTCAACGAAGGGTCCAGATGTCCTGGCCCACCCCAATAACAGTGAAAAATCCAACTTTGTTCTCTCCCTCTCCCCCCGCCCGGTGCCCGTAACCTCGGAATGCACCTTTCCAGCAGGAGCTGTCGGAAAGGGCAGGAGGAGGGAGCAGGTCAGACGCTCTCGCAGCCAGCAGGTAGCTGGAATAAGAGGAGCAAGGCAGGTTGGCCTTTGCACGGAAGTGATGAAAGCTGGGAAGAGGGAGCCGCGGCAGCAAAGCTTGTCTTATAAGCGGCTCTGGGCGGGAGGCGACGGGAGGAGGAGTGGGAGGAAGAAGAGGCGGCGGCGGTAGGACGTTAAGAGGAGACGGCGCAACCCTGAACACACCGTGCTCAGCTTTGGGAAGAGAGAGAGAGCAGCAGAAACGATTTCAGGCTTCCAAGCAAAGCACATTAATTGGTGGGATGGGGGGGGGAGGAGAGAATGAGCTCACACCCCCTTCTCTCTCTCTCTCTCTCACACACACACACACACACACACACGGAGGGGTGCGCGCACTCTCCTGCTCCTGCTGAAGCTGACAGCATTAAAAGAGGTGAAAATCTTCACCCCGAACCCCAAGTAGGAGCTTCAACTCCTACTTACTCGGGAGTTAGTTCTGCCGCTTTCAGTAGGGGCTTACCCCCACATAAGTGTAACTCTCTCCTTGGCACCCGGAACGGACTCCCCAGTTTTCGAGCTAAGAAGGATCACGACCTTGCCATTGGGCAGAGGACAAATTGAAAAACGATTGGAGCACCCTTTGTCCTCCCACTCAACCTGCCTCCCTCCACCTGGTCCCGAATCGTAGCGCTGCTTCTCCTCCGACTGCGACCGGAGCCGATCCCTTTGGGCTATGCTGGGGCGGCAATGATCCCTGTGCCCTCGCAGCGGTGAGGTCGGGTTGGTCCTGTCGGGAAAACTCACGTGCATAAAAATACTACAAAGGGTAAACCGGATTTGTAGCCTTATTGGCTGGTTCGCTAACAAAATATATTGTTGCCTTTCCTGCACGGAACTGTGCCCGGAGGTGCTAAACTGAAGCACGCGAGCTCCTGGCTTCCAGCCTTCCTTAAGAGCCCGGGGGAAATGCCCATTTTGCACTGAAGCAGGCAGTTAGTAGTTAGATCGAGCTCCCCCTGCAGCTCAACTAGACACGCAACGAGGTCGAATAGGAAACAGAAGCATTTAAGGCTTCAGCACCGCGGGATGGGAAAAGCATCGTCTTCGTTTAGGGATACGTTCTGGTTGCTCTTTCTTACGCTGATCAGCCTGCAATCTTATGCGCACCTACCCTGGAATAAATGCCGCTGAACGCACTGGGACCTCCTTCCGGGTAAGCGTGGAGAAGATTGCTCAGGCTATGCTGTACAGAGATAGTGATTTCACTCGCCCCCAGGAACTGGACAGCTGAATTGGTCGTCGGACGGGCCTTAGATACCGCACGGTCCAGTTCAGCTGGAAACACCAGAGAAATTCGCCTCCCCGTGAAATGTTTCTCCGGTTGATGGGAGGGGTCGAATAAAAGCTGAGATTTAAACGTATTAAGACCGAAGAGCTACGTTCCTTGGGACTTCCACTGCATTGTATGTTCCAAAGCCCTGCCCCTAGAATGGGATGTAAGATTTGGGAAATGCGCACACACCGTTGAAGGCGATTTGGCTGGGTGGATTTAATATGTCAAGAGAAGTTGGCGCGGCAGAAGAATTACAGTCGAGGGACCTGCCTTTCTACAGGCTACATAGATCCTCAAGCCCCTATTAATGAGAAGCTTGAGTGGGGATTTTGGGGGGGGGGGGGGGGGGGGGGGAGGAGACCTGTAATTCAACAGGATAATAGCGCCCTCTATAGGCTCTTGCAAGCTGCAAACAGTTGAAATCAACCTTTCGGTTTATTAAATACATGCACGGGGGAGGGGGGAAGTGGAGTGCTTGAATCTCAGGAAGCTGTCCTCTCCTTTATTAGAAGAAAGATTAAAACAAAAATAGTATTTTAACAATGCAGCGCTTAAGGTATTTGACTAGGTTGGGAAGATTTAGGTTCAAGCATCCTCAGCAACAGAAGCAGCCAATCTACCTCACCGGGTTGTTGTTACGGGGGAAAAAGTGGAGGCGGGAACGCCGTGTATGTTAGACTTCTGCTCCTGGAGAACAGGCGGGATATAAACCTAACAAAGAAAAAAACATAATTCTACAATGATTCCAGCTGCAACCATTTATGCGTCTGAAAAACATTAGTATGTACAAAGGTTCGGAGGACTGTTCATCACCTGTGGCCACTCCGCAATTCAGCAGCGTCTCTAACGCTTCTTCTCCTCCGTCTTTATCCCGCTTTTACTGCTTGGGGGATGGAAAGATGTTTTTCCGCGTACCGTTTCCTATATAGTGAGATGTTTGGCTCCAGCAAAGATCTGCTGGAGGTTTTGTATTCGTTCCTTTGCTACTCACTTCTTTTGAGTAAGCGGGCCTCTGTAGACGCACGCAGCCCAGGGACGTCGAGGTCATCAGCGAGCGGGCATCTCATTCGACCTCAGTTTTGAAACAATTTATTTTCGCGCCCTCTGCTGGTGGTCACATGCATTTTTTCGCGCTACTCTTTAAAACCCTCCGCGTCTCGATTTTAATCTCTTACAAACACGAGAGGATTCAGAATCATTATATTCTTCTATTGTCTACAAAGTGTATATTTTGTTTTAGAATGGCGGTCCAATTCTGGTTTTACGGAAGCAGGCGCAGTCGTTATTGGTGCTAATCCGAATTAACGGAGCTACATTTCTAAAACGAGTGTTGGATCTCAATACCATTTAAAAATGACGTCTTTTATCTCGAACACTTTAACTACTAAAAATTCCAGAAAATGTAGGAAATAGTGGCGTTGAAATTCACCATGCTCGTATTCAGAAATACTTACTTTTGCACTTCTGGAGTGCAAAAATCTGGACAGCTAGTAGATGGCAGCAAATAATACATATTAAATTATTTCATTAAATTTGTATGCCTTTGAATCTTTAACAGCTCACTTCTTCATATCACATAATTTTCTGTCATGCGCTTTTCACAGAAACGTAAAATTCAGCTGCAAATCTGATTTTCAGATACAAACTGTGTAAAAATTATCATTTTAGCAGAAGACATTTTAATTTTTTTAAAGGAACACTAAGGCCAGTGATTAAAGGTATGTCATTTTATAAAATATAGCCTCAAACTCCAGTATGTTCTCTTTCCATTTCAGATATTAATTTATTATTTATATTAAGAATACATTAATATAACATTAATTATTCATTAACATTAATATAACTGTTAATTAATTAACAGGGAGGCTCTCTGGATCATCTTGAGATGTTATGGATGCCCAAGGAAATTTGTGAAGTTGATTCAGCTGCTCCACGATGGAATGACAGGACAGGTTCTTTGCAAGGGTGATACGTCAGCTGCATTTGCCATTTCCAATGGGGTAAAACAGGGTTGTGTGCTAGTCCCAATCCTGTTCAATCTGTTCTTCGCTTGCATGTTGTCACGTGCTGTCCAGGGTCTGAAGGAGGGAGTGTACATCAGGTACCAGTTGGATAGCTCTCTCTTTGACCTTCACCGAATGCACAGATGAAGTGCCTCCATACAGTCATCCAAGAAACCCTCTTTGCTGATGACTGTGCGCTCCTGGTGCACAAAGACAGCGATCTACAATTGATGCTGCTATGCTCTTCAGCCTGACTATTAGCCTAAACAA